GCAGGCACAGCACTTGGTGAACCTCGAAGTGCAGATTTCGTGGCAGGCACAGCACTTTGTGAACCTCGAAGTGCAGATTTCGTGGCAGGCGCAGTAGTTTGTGCTCTCAGATGCTCACTCTCACACGCACACTCACCCACCCGCACTCACTCTCACACTCACTCTCACTCTCACTCACACTCGCACTCACACTCACTCATACTCACTCACTCTCACCCACACTCACTCGCACCCACCTTCACTCTCCCTCACACTCACTCACACTCACTCCCACTCTCACTCTCATTTTCACTCTCACTCTCACTCTCCTCGCTCTCCCACACTCACTCTCACTCTCGCCCACACTCACCCACCTTCACTCTCACTCACACTCACTCACACCCGCACTCACTCACACTCACTCTCCCACTCCCACTCGCACTCACTCTCACCCACACTCACTAACACCCACCTTCACTCTAACTCACGCTCACTCACACTCACTCACTCTCACTCTCACTGTCACTGTCACTGTCACTGTCACTCTCACTCTCACTCTCACTCTCACTCTCACTCTCACTCTCTCACACACACACGCACACACGCTCTCACTCTCACCCACACTCACTAACACCCACCTTCACTCTCACTCACGCTCACTTACACTCACACTCACACCCACTCTCACTCTCACTCTCACTCTCACCCCGCACTCACACTCACTCTCCCACTCTCACTCACACGCACACTCCCTCTCACCCACACTCACTCACACCCACCTTCACTTCATCACCACCATCGCCTCTCTGGACCGCAATGCGTCTAGATCTCTAGACTTTCTGCTTACAGACCTCACACCCACTGTTTGGGGTCTCTTGCCGGGATAATGTTTGGCGAAACAACCATTGTCTGAAAGGGTTTTACACTACAACACTATAGGTCAACTATATTTTAAATGGTCTGGGTAGAGGAACATCCTTTGATGGTCCGAATTCTTTGCAAAGTTGAATTTGGTGAGATCATTCATCCAGTTGCCACAGACTCATCCCAATTTCCAGACCCGACGCTTCATTCTTTGGGATCTGTCCAGGCCCAGCACGGCTTTCGCTTCGCGGTCATCGAAAATGAGGCTTCTCGTCCGGGAGGGGGGGGGAGGGGCGCCAGAGGGTGCATCTTTTTTCAGGCGGTTGATTCACCAGCAGATAGGCAGCTCTGAAGGTGAATCAACCAGTCCATCGGAACCCAGGAACCTAATTACGTGGCAAGCTCTGCTCAGAGCAGATGGCATCTTGCTTGTACTGCAAACCTGGCGGAGAAATCTCTCTCTGATAAACATGAAAATTTCACAGGGCCACCATTGTCCAAGGGAGAAGCCACATGGATATTCACCGGTGATCTACTCACTTGTGATCTATTCGCTTGGTTCTGTTTGTTTAAAACCTGTCACCAGCCACCGTCGCGTGGCGCCATTGACACTGTTCGCTCCAGGGAACCGCCGGGCAGATGTTTCAAGGGTCGCCGGTGGATGGACGACCGGTTGATCCTCCAACTGTGCAACATGTCTGCCTTTTTCATCGAGCCAACCAGCCCAGCTGGGTCGCTATGAGCTTAAAATGGCATCGTTGGTAAGATGTATGAACCTGAAGATGACCTGAGTCAGATGGCACCTGGTGGGTTCTCATGTTCGTTCTCTTTTTGTTGGCGTGTCCTGACATCGCGACAGGTGGGTCAGATTGGTATCGACAATCAGTTGCTGGAAGCTTCTGGTGTGAAGAGGACTCAAGAGTCAGTCGCTTGGCCCTGAGTGGCTGGGTAACACAGAGACCGTTTTTTTTGGATCCGCTTTCGCAGTTCTGTAGGTCATTTTAATCTTTGTGGATGGGGATGAGACAGTTCGACTAGTTTTCACTGTCCATCATCAGCCATCGCTGCTTTGTTTCTTTCTCAAGCTTCATATGGTCATATGCGGTGACCTATAAGTGTTGCTGATCACTCGAGGGGCAGGATCGAAACTAGTTCCGCTTTGCTTTGCAGCGGAACACTGGCGAGACATGTCGAGACTAGTCATGGAGAAGAACAGTGAAAACTATAACAGAGTGTGCTTCCTGGCAGTTGGAATGGTCATGTTTTCGCTTGGAGTCATTAGCGCCTATTCTCCCCTGAAGTTGTTGCAATGTAACTCAAAAGGGGCTTCCTGACAGATTTGGCCTCTGAAAAGTTCTTCAGCCTCTTTTTGAAACGGGTTTCCTCAGCAATGCTGGCTGATTTACAAGAGCCCCGCAGTTATGAAAATCGGATAGCATCGGGTAATGATGCTTGGCACCAATCAACTCATGTCTTCTCCACTTTCTGGACTTCCTGGAAACCCAGTCGCAACCCAGAAACAGTTCTGGATGGAACTCCCCAGTCCTACTAGTAACCGCTTGTTATGTAAAGGACCAACAAATGACCGGAGCAACCAAAACTGTTTCTGGTTGTTTGTGCGTTTGGGTTTCCAGGGACTCATTGATGCATGGCAGATACGACCTCACCATTTGGTCGTCCAAGAGGTCTCGCTTCCAGCGTCGAGCTCGGCCCCGCTTCCTCTGGAGAAAAAAGCGTCATCACAGCCATCTCCCCAATTCCTTGCGACCTATAATCTACGTCCACCCGCTCCCTATATCATCTATATCTACGTCCTGGAATCAAAGGACTTGTGTTCCAGGAGTAGAGTTCCAAATCCGAAACGCCACCTCAGTTCGACCCTTTTCTCTTCCTTTGAGCAAGAGAAACGTCTAATCCACAAATCCATAGTGTACAGAATTCACAGTTTTGCATCGTTTTGGAATTAAGCTTCGTGTGCCCGTGGTTCTTTGCACTCTTGAAAAAAGACCATGGCGAAGTAACTGAGGTGATCCTGCTGGACAATGGCTGCCTCTGCTGCACGGTCCGCAGCGACCTAGTCGAAGCTGTGAAGCAGATCCTCTTGAAGGTTCGCGGCCTTCCCAGACGTGTCCCGCCTTGGTCGTCTTTGGGACCGTTTTGCTGACCGACTTCGCTCGGGGAGTCGCGGTGCCCTTTTCGTGTCGCTGGTCATGGGATGGTCGGGTGCGTGGTGACGCGGTCACAGCGGTCCCGCGCGCGGGATCCATGCGGGATCCATGCGGGTTCCCATGCAGCTGCTTTGCTCCTAAAGAGTGAAGCATCGTTTTGCCAAGAGCAGCCACCTATCTCTGGCCCGACCGACCTTTCTACAAGGCACAAGGTAGAAGATGTGTTTTTGTTTCGCATCCATGTTTTTGGCCTTTTCTGGCAACAAACCACATCCCAGAAACTTCGAAGGGCATGAGATACGTCCAGCACTTGAAAGGTTCAGCTCGGGTTCAGCTCGGTGATTTGGCCGCTACAGCTGGTCGCCACGGCGCTTTTGGAAGCTTTCCCGGCCGGTTGCGTGTTCCGAAGGGTTTTCCTTTCCAGGCGGACGCAGAGGCAGCCAACAGGCAAGCTGCGCAGGCCTGCGACCATTTTTTTTCGGAGAAAGCACACATTCAGCGGAGGAAGTTGTGAAGGTAAACCCTAGGCTTCCAACAACCATTAATTCAATAGGCTCTACCAAATCAACTAAGGACTACAAAAACCAGGTCTTGGAAGTCAAAGATTCATTACCCAGACACAACCAGTTCGGAAGCTGCCAGACGGACGGGTCAGATGGACCGGTAGAGCCCGAAGTTCGGACTGTATTTCTTCAGGGCAACAAAGGTCGATCTGGACTTCTGGGTCAAATAGACTCTTGATTCTTCAAGCACTCCTCAGGTCCGAAGAGGTTTTTCAATGAAGTCTATTCATCAAGAGTCTACTGTGGAGTGAAGAACCACGGTCCAGATGTTTTCTTGCTTGCGACATGCCGCCATGAACGAAGACTCCCCTGAAGCATGTTTTTCTTGGGGCTTCTCAAAGCAAGCAACACTTGCAGGTGTTCAGGGCCGGATTCGACCTCCAGCCATCTGCCCGTGCCGACGAATCGTGGGTTGGCTTCGTCGCTTCGCCCCCGCAGCACGGTGGTGCCCGCGCACGGTCCCAGGACGGCCCCGCAGCGCGGCGTGCCTTGGATGGGATCCTCATTGAGACGACCGGCCTCGCCGATCCGGGAGCCTCGGAGCGAGACCTTGCGGACCTTGGGGGGCCGGGGCGGACCCGGGGGTGGTTGGAGGATGAAGAACCCAGCTGTGTCGCTATAGAATCGGTTTCGCCATATGTGGAGGGCGGCCCAGGGTTAATCCTCCCGGATAGAGTGTATTCCTATTCTGTCCGTAGCTGTGTCCCATAGAGTATCCCACTTCATATGGTTATGGAGATCCGTCCATGGATTTCATGGATGGCGGGAGGGTTGAGGTAGACAGAGGCTGACAGAGGCTGACAGGTAGGTCTGCTTGAGTTGGGGTGTGTGCGGATACGATTTGGGATGAGTCTGGAACCCAAGGTCCATATATTATCATATATTCTGGTCCAAGCACCATTTAGTCCACATCACATCCCATTTGGAGGTGTAAAACCATTCTGGAGAAACCGGGATTCTCTTATTTGACAAGTGCCTTGCACTCCCAATTCCGGTTCCGGCCCAACTCTTGTGACGAACCGGACCCGAACCAACTGGTTGAGAGGTTGAGAGACCTGAACTGGGACCCTTTACAGGGGTACATATGGGGTAGGCTATAGGCTATATATAGGCCTGTACCTTCGCTCTCAGTCCAGGAATGGAAAGGGGTGGCAGCGAACCAGGTCGAGACCAATACAGACGTCAGGTCCGTCTCCTACGACTAAGGTCGGGACCCGAAGGATCGTCTGGGATTTCGTAAAAAGCAGGTTTTTGGGAAACAGGGGCGGCCGGCCTCCTACGTATGTAGCACACATTTTGGATACCTGGAGCTTCAAAGGGGTGCTCAATGGAGATCCCTAAGTAGTGTAGGGGAGTCTATTGGAGACCCCTTTGAAGATGCTGATATCCTTGATGGTGCTTTCCTGTCGTTGGATTCACAGCTTCGTTGGTCGAACTTGATGGGACCTCACCTCAGTCGGGGCTCAGAAGAAAGGCTATGCTATCGCCGTCGAGTGGCCGTGGTGCGAGCTCCGTGAGGTCCTGTTTGCAAGACCTTCTTCGTGGATGAAGAGCTCCGCGAGCGCACGCGCGTGGATGGAGTGCTCACGGTGATCGACACGGTACACTTCCTGCAGCAACTGCAGCGGGTGCGAGGGGTGGGTTGGGGGATGGGTGTGATCTGGATCTATAGCTTACCCTAAGAATCTGAACAGGTCCTCCGTGGCAGGGGTTGGTTGGACCCTCCATAGCAGGGGTCCGGACCAGGTTCCCAAACCCTATGTGTTGCGGAACGAGCCCGGATTCTTGCGGGTCGACCCTGGGTTTCTTCCGTTATATCACTTTCGGACTTTCTTCTTGTCTTCTTCGTTTCGCACACATGGCGAACTTGGCACATTTGTGGCGACTCTTTTTATAACTTGCATGTGCCGAAAGACCAGTGGGAGCCTGGAGCCTGGGGCCCGGGGTGTTGAAACGATGTCTCTGTACGTGTACGGTGTACCGACCGTGTACCGACCGTGTGTGGCTGTGAGCCTTGCCTCATGTGCTCGCAAAGGTGATGACAGGGGCGGTCAGGAACTCATCACCTTGACCGAGATGAGAACCACCGGTGATTTGCAAACTAATCACCTTTGGTGATGACAGGGGCGGTGTAGATTGCAAAGGAGATCTCTTCGAGGATTCCAAACCACCATTGATTTGAATGGACTTGACGAAAGAACCATCGCTTTACGAAGGAGCATAGCACTACACCAGCTCAACCGAACTCGTTGTTTTCATGGTCCAAGGAGGCAAGGCGACCTCCGTGGTCTGTTTGATCACCAACTCGAGGATCGAATCCCTCTGCCTCAAGTGGTCCCAGACTTTGCCTCCCTGTCGCGCTTTCACAAGCCCTGTAGGTACACGGAGTGTGGAAGACTCATGGTGGTTTCGTGGATGGCCTGGCCCTGAATTTCATGAAGTCTGAAGCCCAAACGCGAGTGGTGAACTCGATCCACTTCACCTCACCCTGATTCCGGGAAGCCTACCTACTCCACTTCCTCTCCACTTCCCACTCCACCTCGAGACTCATCCTTCGACCCGAAGCAAGTTTGGACGTACCGAAGTTCAGCAGGAGCGCAGCGCGGACGCGGTGAACGAATCAGCGCAGCAAGTGGCCTTTGCAGACAAAGTGCTGCTGAACAAGGCGACGGCTCGACGGTTTCGCGCGCGCTGGCGCGTTTGCCGGAGAGTCACGACATGACTTCCACCTGTTAAACCCAGTCCAAACCAGAAAGCACATGGTTGTTCCAATCTGGCGCCAACTTGAAATCCGGAAATGGCTGGGACTGGGTTTCGTTCCATCCAGAAACTGTTTCTGGTTCTTTGCTTTTCCCAGGCATGGAGTTTCATGGGAGGTCCAGGTACGGCCGAACCACGGCCGAGCCACGGTGACGCGAAGGGACTCAGTCGGAGGGCGTAGAAACCCCTAGAGGGACGGCAGTCGACCTGCGATGGGCGTATGGTGCGTTTCCTTTCTTTTGGGGGGGAAAAAGGGATCAGGCCGTCCCTGTCAGACGCAGCCGGCGTGTGGACCGCGGTGGGGTGTTGCTGCGGAGGGTATACGAATGACACCTACCACCTGCATAGGATCCGGACCCTCAAACACATGTAGGGTTTTGAGGGTACAACCCCCTTGTTATAGGGTTCGCCCCCTTCTATGGAGGGTCCAAGGATCCTTTAGGGCAAGACAATAGGCAGTTCCGTTGTTGGACTGGTTCCTGATTCGCATTGCAAGACGACTACCTGGTTCTTCAAAGATCTTCAAAGTCATGGACTCCGAAGCATCCCCAGGTTGCTTCGGTCGGATGGGACTTCAAGAATTCGGTCCTTAAGCTGGGAGACCATGGTCCGTTGAGATGGCTGGAGTTGTGGCAGAATTTGCCACGGGTGCAGAGGTTCTGATGCCACGAGGTTGATGCATATAGTTTACAAGCCCTCCCATCAGTCGAGACTTCTCATACCCTAGGACTCCTCTGTCTCCTCTCCAAAGTTTCCCAGGGTCTTAGAGGTGTTGGCCTCTGGACCTTCACTTCGGCCGCCGGCGTTCTTGGGGGGTCGACCTTCTTGTCGTTGAGGAATTCCCGAGTTCGACCCGACGTCCGACCCGAGGTCCAGCTCAGGGGGTGGCAGGGCAGTGTGATCCATTCCAGTAGTTTCAAAGGATAAAGGGGGTTTCTGGCAACAACCAACCTCATTGAATCTATGTCCAAACCCGCGGCTCGCCCGTTTTGGCCGTGCCGCCTGTAGCGCATCATCCGTTGTGCCGGCGCCAAACCGATAGCCGTTTCATGCTCCAAAGCGTTCCTGAGCATTTTGACTCACTTGTAGTTTGGATGGCATTGAATCGAAGCACCTTCGGACGCATTTGGGGACGGATTTCTCAGCACGTCGTGCTTGGCTGTGCCCCGTCCTCCGTCGAATGTGGGGTGGAGCTTCGTCCCATCCAGTCTGTGATCTTTCGTGCCCCAGCTCCGTCCTCAGTACCTCCTTCCAGTATACCCGTGTTTCATGGAACGAATGAACGAGCACCACGAACGAACGTACGGGTGTCCATTCACCACCCCCGTGGTGACTTCGTCGTCCTGGTGCTTCGACGGGACGACTCGTGACCGAGGACTTGTGATTTGGTTCAAGCCTTGAGATGGTCCAAAAGTCGAAGACGTGCCACAAGAAGCTCCAATCAAACACCCGAAGTCCCACCCGGTCCAACCACGGAGCCCCCCAGAGTCGCGATGTTTCGACTCACATTGCTCGATGTTTCGACTCTTGACGAGGCAGAGAGGCAAGCAGGGAGGAACCCTCCGCACCTCCACCCTTCCCAATGGGGGATCCAGTGCACCATCAGGGTCGGTGACCAGGCCCCGTGCAGTCGGTGCCACCGCCCACGCCCCATTCGATGTGTGGCACCCCAGCTCCCCAGAGCCTCAGGCAGTGCCCTCTCCATTGCAGCTTTGGGTGCTTTGGCTCAGATGGGCTGGGGGGGCCTTCGGCCCAAGTGGGGCGGATTCACCAGCAATGGGGTGAATCGAATGAGAGCACCTGACGAGGGATCTCCCTCCACTTAGTGCTAAGTTGGCAAAGTGCCAAGGTGACCCCATGACCAAAAAATACAATATATATATATATTGTATTATATTATATATATATATGTATGTATACGTATGTAACTTACTACTACATATTTTTTCTGGCCCATCCCTAGTTAGGCATAAAGGTTTCCTGGATACCTTTCCCCTGTCAGGGACACAAAGAACTTCAGTTCAGACTTTCAAGACCTGCATGACATGACACCCTGACACCAGGAAGAAATGCCAGGTGCCATTCATTCTGCCATAATTACATCTTTTGTTTTGGGTTCCATTTTTTCGAAAACATTTTTTCCGGATTATTTTCTCGGTTTCTTTACCCCCCCCGCACTTTGTCCTCATTGTGAACTCCAGGATTTTCTTGGGGCGAAGATGGGTTGATGCAGTCAATGAGTATCTCAGCGTGCTGGGACCCAAACTGTTTCAAGAAGTCGTGAGGCTTTCGCTGCATGAAAAGGATGCATTTTTAGTTGAACCAGAAGAATCCCTGGGAGTATTTTTTGAAGATTTTGGATGAACACAGGGTGAATCATGAAATTAATTAATTACCCACGGAAATGGCAGGAACTTCCCTTCATAGTTCTCAATCAATCACCCTAGATCCATGACCATCATGATTTAAATACGTGAAATGACAATAGTTGAAGTTGAAAGGACAACTACTAGTAACAAGAAGCTACTCGTAGCTCCTGGCATTACTACTAGTAGCAAGAAGCTACTATTTAGTTGGAGGCCATCGCTACTATAGTAACAAGAAGCTACGATCAACCAACAAGACCCGAGGCCATCGCTCCCCCAAGATGGCGCTCGTCGACCCCGGAACCCCTCGATCAAAAGGAACCCGAGCCGGTGCGCGCCGGTGCAAGACCCGACTCTGAACGGTCCGAACCAAACGAAAAGCGAACGTCGGATCCGACGTGTAACCTTGGCTGGGTCTTCCAACGACATGCAACATTTCTGCCGACCACACGGCTGGTCTATGCTGATGAAAAGGCAAGTATCACCACACGTGCTTTTGAAAACCCGTGTGGTTGCGGCTCCGCCCTTTGTAAATCCCAAGCTCCGCTCCGCTCCAGCTCCGCTCCGCATGAGCGCTCCACGTTGTCGCTACCCACAGTGGTAGGTCTTGAGCCTCCCAGTGGCAAGCTTCTGCTGACAGCTCAGCAGAAGGCCGCGTCGCAGAATGGCAATCGCCCCGCTCCCGTGACACCCGGGCCGGGGTCGATTTACACTCCGATGGAGACGGGAGAAATCCGTACTGCAGTTATCCGTACTGCAGTTCTGACCGGCCGGTTGGAACGAAAAAGGAGGGCGGACTTTTTCCAAGGGCACCTTTGTTCAGAGCATGCTGGTAGAACATGCTTTATGGCCGTGGGTCAAAACCGGAGAACGCTGGTTGACCGCCGAAAATGCATGGAGTCCTCTATTAGGGATGTTTATCTTCCATGGTTTGGTGACTCACAACCATATGTGCCCTTTCTGGATACTTCTACTTCATTGCAAGTACACTGTCACAAGTTGAAGCCAAGGGGTCTGGGTTGGGAGCGCTCCTCACCACCTTCACGACACATTCACGAAGAAACGCAGAACTCATTCGTGGAGGCCCTATTGGGGACCGAAGAGTGTTCAACACAGACCCACATAGACATACAATGACATAGACGCTACTAGTAGCTCCTGGCCTTACTACTTTATCTTCCAAGCCCGGTGGCTTTTTGGAGAACCCCCAGAGACCTGGACCTTGTCAACACCGGTTCATCACGGATCCGAAGTCCTGGCGCCACCGGGGTGTTTGGGTCACCCAAATAGACCCGTTTTCATCGTTGTCCGGCGGTGTCGGCACCTCCAAGAAGAAGCCAGACCTTTGAAAGGTCTTCTTGTTGAGTTTTCTCCTGTTTTCTTCCATTTGCTTCCAACTCAGTCAAGCAATTCAATTGTCTTTGCTCTCAATAGTGACACCAAACAATCAAAGGGGAGGGGTCATGAGGGCAGCTGCGCCCTTTCAAGTGTTCTTTCTTGAATTTCATACTTCGTTCCCTTTTGCCGAACACTTCGGAGCACTCTCTTGTTCAGACCACGGCACCCGCGCCTCCCACGCGCAAGCACGCGCAAGCTCAACCGCACGGTCGTCGCTGAGTCTCACAGTTTCGGCTGCCTCCAGGTACAGTTTGATTCCGTGATGAAGCTGCACATGCAGCTGCGCACGGGCCGTATGACTACTGAGGTGCAGAACACGGAGGAGATTCGAACGTCCGACCATGAGACCCATGCCATTCGTTGAAGCCGGGAGTGGGGATGACTTGGGAATCCATGGCATTTGAGTCAATCCTTTGCAGCAAGTGAACTTGATCTCCTCCTACTCGAGTGCTACGGTGCCCACGTTTTGCTGGGAATGCGACTCGCTTCTCTTCCAGGATCGAGCTGACATGCCGGGCACTGGAACTCCCAACTGAGGTGCAAACTGAGGCGGCGTTTCATCAATTCACTTGGACTACAGTTCCCAAATCAGCATCCATCGCAATTTTTGAGAAAGTCGGCTCCAGCTGATTCCAAGGCTAGTTTTTTTTGTTCGTGACGCAGGTGGCTCAAAGAGTGTCATCCACTGTTTCGTCTTGAAGATGAATGCGCCAAGTCGGATTTCTGATGGGATGCTGATGTGAACGCCATCCACTGCTGCTTTTTGCAATTCCCAACCTTGAAAAGGAGGTTGATGGCAAACTGCAGGACCGTTCCCTAAATCTCGTGGCCCTTTGCCACCAGCTCACCACAATGCTGCGTGACTGACAAGAACTGGGCATGTCTACTGGGACCCAAAGTCTTGCTAAACGAATCAAGAACAAAACTGGTATACTAATTAATACCCATCATACTAAGAGCCTAAGCTTTGCGATATCTAAAGCACCTTTTGACATGACCAGCTTTTGCGCCATCGCAGGCCTTGCCGGATGGCGCCGGAATAGCAGATGAGCGTCGTTGATTTCAGCGGCTCAGGTGGAGAACGTCAGGACTCGTCCTGGACGTTCGGCATCGGACGAAATGTCCACAATCTGAGTCAACCCGGATAGGGTTCTTATATGGCAATGCGTGTTCCTTCAGATAACAACTGGTTGAGACTTTGGACACATCCATGAGTTTCTTGATTTCCGAGTACCTCTTGTTCTTGTGCTGAAGAAGCAGTTTCATCCTTGAGACTTTGGCCCCACGTTCGTGTACTCTACGCATCGTAATACGCTTATGTCGAAATTCACCGGCTCATCGCGGACAGTGTAGCACAGTCCAGCAAAAGGGGGGCTCTGCCTCGCGCGGGGGTGGGGGCGGCGGTCTGACCTGGTTTTCGCCTCCGTGGTTCATGGCAGTGTCATTCGGCAACCTAACGCCTGGTAGCACAGAAAGGTGCGTTGCCCAAATGGGTCATCGAAAATAGGGAGACCGAACCGCCGGCGTTCCGACCTCGAAGGTTCGGGAAATTGCCCAGCCAGCGGCGATCGGGTGTCTCCCTATTATATCCGGCACCCAAATGGGCTCCTGCCCTACCTTCCTCTTGCGCTTCTTCGAGCTTCCTAGTACCCACCCTAGTCCAGGTGTAGGATGTCTAGGATTTATCCCTCCACAGATGGCGTTTCAGGGTACTGATTTGGTACCAGGAGATGACAGGGCATTGGGCAGCAAGGGCAAAGACAGTAGAGTTGGGATCGTTCTTCTTGTTGGGCATTGGGCAAAAAGACACCTTTCTTGCTAGAATCCACCCAGCAGATCTGTGTGGTGTGTTTCTCTTTTTGCCTGGTCGAATCAATTTCCTCCAATCCAATTGACGCTCCTACACCTGGTATGGAAAAAGAACATGTCTTCTTTGACTCTTTCTACTGCGGGTGAGCCACACAGAAGGGGCAAGCAAGATCAATGTTTGCTTGAAGAATTCCGACGTCGTATTCAGTGGGACAACAGACTTTTTCGTCCATTTCCTTCGTTCACCTCCGCAAAGGTTTGTCTCTCTCTCTCTCTCTCTCTCCTGAAAAACCCTCGTCGCGCCGTCCTCGGCCCTCCTCGCCCGCATCCTCGGCATCGGGTTCCCTCAAGCCGGACTGGTCGGATGGGACCGTTGAACCACGAACGGTGTGGGACGGACGAGGGCCTCCCAGCTGATGACCTGAAGTGATGTTGCCCAGCACGCACCGCGACCAGGACCTTCTCAGTGACCTAGAGCGTGATCCCAGTGGCTAGTTCGGTCACTTCGAATCATTGAAGGACCCAACTCTACAGGTTTCTTGTGGTAGCTTTTGCAGGTCCTCTAAAGTCGCAGGTGGTGACCTATTGGTTTTCTGCGGGTAGAAGGTTCTTAACCAATCCTGAAGTTCGGTCACTTTCGTCCTGCTCGTCTTGACCGGATGACGCAGCACTGGAGCGAAGCGCAAGCTCTCCAGGTGGACGTGGCCGGAGAAGACGTGGTGCGGCAGGTGGAGCGTGCGATTCGTTGCTGGGAGAGTGGAAGAGAGGTGGGTCCCGGAATTGAGGCAGTGGAGTGACTCAAAGCAAGCGCAAGATGTGGGTGCTCTCTTTGAGCCAGAGTGGGTGGTTGAGTGTTTCTTTTTGATGGTTTTTGGGTATGAGGTTTGTGGTGGGGTTTAGGTCCAGGTTTAGATCATTGGAATCTAGTAGCAGGTTCACCTAAGGGCCTTTGCCTGTTTTGAGGCTATGGCAGAGGCTGTTGTCGTTTCTTGAACCCGAGGCAGTATGAACAGCTGCTGCCCTATACTCCGATGTAGCCTCGCAAAACGGCTGCTTGGCAGGAGGGACCTATCTCACATGATTTGGATTTAGGATGATTTAGGTGAATCAACTCAACCTCCTCAGTGGAGAATCTCTCACCACCCTCCCTTGGGGACCAAACCAGTTTCTCCGCCAAAGGTTTGGACCAAGAGTGGAGCTAGGAGGGACCCGGCACTTTTTTGGAACTAGATTGTCCATGATAGTCCATGATAGTCCAAGACCCTCTTGTAAGCGAGCCACCCCGTTGTCTTTCAGAGTAACAAGGCTTCTTCCTTGTGGCCAGAAGGTTCTTCTTTTGGATGGTGCAATCAGCCAATCGGATGGAGGGAGCCTCGTAGGTGCTACGCCCCAAATAGGCATTCGACAGGGAGATCTCCAATGGACTTCGGTCATGAAACAGGTCTGCTGCATTTCAACCATCAGTTCAGGTGGACGAAGTGGCCTGTAGGACGAGTCGGTGCGTCTCATCGGAGCCGACCATCGTTCTTCCCGTCTGCGGCGGCGTGTCCCTTTGCTTCGACCGAGCACCGGGCGCAAGCGAGCACCCGTCGCTTCGAGCGCTCGGTGCCTCACCCCGCCAGGTCGGCTGATTTTGGAACGAAGACCAAACAAAGCACTCTCGTGTCGACGCCGGGGTTGGCACCAAAGGCCTTGTATCTTCCGCCCCCGATTGGCCCTTTCCCAGATGGCCCCTAGGCAGACCTTGCGAAAGAGTCAGGTATAGGTGAGGGGAAGGCCGTGCTCCGGCCTCCGATACTATTGCAGGTCTTCAGGACGCTGGTCCAAAGTCAAGGGTCATCTGCAACTCTCGTGGAGGTCACGAAAGGTAGCCCTTTAGGGGATACCTTGAGTTTGTCTTGCGAAGCAAGTGTTGGCGCGTCCGGGTCGAATAATTGATCATTCAATTCAACCCCCCCCC